GGTTGACTAATATCTTGTTTTGCAAGTATTGAGGTTTTTTAGGGATTATTTTTTTATTGGTTGGAGGGTTTCATCATGAACTGCTATTGGTTAGGGAACCATTGGAAAACCTGCAGGCTAGTTTTGGACTCTCCAACAGTACACACCTACTACCGAAAAGGTTCGAACCCAGGACCTTTTGGTTAAAAAGTGAGTGATCTTATTGACCACTCAATCTGCCACTGGGATCCGACCCGATCCAATGGCCAGCCAGTGCATGAATTTCAAATTCTGCTAATTCAGGCAGTCTACAGGAACGCATGCTTTGATTAAGTCACACAGTGGTGACCACGTTTCGAGCACAATTTATTACCACTGATAATCATATCAAGGTACTCCGACACAACTTTCTTGCTTCGAATGTACTTTATCCTTTATAGTAGATTGTCTAACAACAAACGCTCGTCTTAATCCTCATTATACTATATTTTATTGATAACACGAATAGTGGTTCCCAATGTACTTTATCCTCCTTTCTGTTTCACACATGTCTATTGAAGTGTTATTGATTTTTATCCCAATGTCTATTCATCAATTTTCATTTATTTATTTTCATTTTTGAATAGAGCTTGATTCCAAACTGTATTTTCAGTACAAGTATGGAATTTTTAGCATGGATATCGGTAGCCCAAATTTTGCAGGCCGACCATAGATATCAGGTGTGAGTCGGCAGAAGATCGAACCTCGGACCATGTGCATGGTCAGCGATAGTCCTAACCACTGTGCCACCGACGCACATCATCATCAATCTTCTAAATGAAGCAAGAAAGTTGTGTGAATAGTTTCTTGATATGATTATGAGCAGTAATAAATTGCGGTCAAAACGCTGTCATCAATAAATATTATTTACTGTATAACACCACTGTGTGATTTTATCAAAAGAAAAGTTTTCTCCATTATGGTACTAGTTACGAATTACCTAACAAAATCAAATTGAAATATCCATTACAATACTACAGTAGGTTAGTCGTCAGCTCAAAGTAACTCAGTGGCCCAAGTTCCAGTCTCAGAAGGGACATGAATTCCTTGATTGGTTTCAGATTGATGAAAGTGCTTCTTGCCTTCCCGATTCTCGCTCGATTTGACATCCTCGCGCGTTCCGACTGCCTGTAGTTGAGACAATGTTCCCTAGATAAGTGAGTGAATGAAGTAACCTCTTTCAAATCCCTTCCGTTGATGGTGATTGATGCTGGATGTTGTTGCTGTTGTTGTTGGTTGATTATTTTCATAACCTACCTGCGTCTTGTCTATGTTCACCTGGAGTACTGTCTTCACCGGCTGCTTCTTCGACCAGTTTATCGGTCGGTTTTCTCTTGTAAATCTTCGATTTCGTGTGACATCAAACATAAATCATCCACGGGCGAAATCCAGGTCTTCTAGGTTTTTCATGTCGGTCCAGGATATCCCTCCCTGTCTTTTCGTTTCCCGCTGTCTGATGCATAATCCGCTATGGATCACTTGACATGTGCCACCGTTGTCGTACAGCTAGCTGTTGAATAAGGTTGATGAATATTTAGGGCACTGTACGCTGTAGTACTCGAGTAGTTTTCAAATTACTTCGCGGTCATATACGTGTGTATATATAAATAGCGCAATTGCCAGCCAATGTCACGAGCAAGTAAACGTCCTCTTGCCTAACTTGGTGTGTTTAAACCCAGTTGTTATAAATTCCTTCCTAATTATAATCATAATAATATTTCTACCTAACATATACACACATATATACGGATTGTTATGTGAATTCCTCTAAACACTGAATCCATTCACTGAACAGGAAACGATTATTCATCGAAATTATTTTAGAATATTATATTGATCAGAGAAAACAAGAGAGAGGGGGTTGTATTTATATCTCTAGAAATCTATTACACTGACTTTCTTCCAACTCCCCGTTTGCCAGTCACCCCCACCCCCAACCCAGCCCAGCCCAGCTGTCTACGCCCCTAACCCCATACCAATGATGTCTTTGAATGTTCAATTCCTGTCAATCAGTTGTATTACTTTTTGTTATTTTTATAACTTTGGTGTAATTACTCAAAAAGACATATCATCGCGGTCATCAGAATAATAATAATAATAATAATAATAATAATAGTAACAAATTTTTAAAATTGTTCAATCTTGGCTTATGTCCATGTGTGTCGCTGTTGTTGTTGTTGTTGTTATTGGTGTTGTTTCACTAATCAGATATTTGTTTATTAGGTCAAATTTCATTTCCGGTTCATCATTTCTATTGTCAACGCCATTCTCTCTGTGAGTGCGTGTGTGTATCCCTGTGTTTATGTGTGTGTGTGTGTGTGAATGTACATAAACAGATTTTATTGAACGGTAGATTTTTGTTGTTGTTGATGTTGTGTGTGTGAGTGTGTGTATTAAACTAATTAGTGTCAGCTATGTGGTATTTGATATCATGAATGATGAACTATGACATGCAAGCTGGCACACATGCGCACACACACATACACACTCACGGATGCTGGCACGCAAAGATGAAGCTTCAAAATCAATAACTATATCACCTTGTAGTTGATTAGTGGTAGTCAACTTTCTAGAGATAGTGGAATTCACATTGTTTTTGTGGTAGTCAGTGGTTCAAGACTGATGGAATACTCATCAAGTATGTCAAATGTGCGTGGTCCGAGGTTCGATCCCTTCTGAACCCGACTCACTTCTAAAGCATCACTTAATCGATAGAGTAAGGCAGGTGATAAAACTGGAAGGCTAGGCTAGCTTGAGGTTAGCCATTTCAGACCTCATGGCTTGAGATCCTGTGTTCCACTGGGAATGGATAGGGAGAGAATATGGGGATTTTAGTAGGGATTTAATCACAAATTGATATTAATGTAAAATAAAAATCACATAAAACTAGGGGATATTTCAATAGAGAAAGAAAGATCAGATTTGCAGTATAAAATGTGGTATCGTCATTCTATTTCACAGGTCCCCCTCATCAGCTAACTGCAAACTACCTGAAATTACAATAGTTATAAGCAATAACATTTCATACTTCATTGTTTGAAAAGTAATAGAGAAAACGTTATAAGGTGAACGCATCATCAATTTATATGCTGTCAAACTATGAAAAACGAAAGGGAAAAGGGGGTGAGAGAAGACAGAAAACAGAAAATTCTAATAAACAGTGTCAACATGGCAACTCAAGAAGGTCAAAGTTCATCAATTTGAAAACTTGCTTTCTGAGTTGAGCTCACTAGTGGGTATAACTAATCAGTGTAATAAAAGTGATACGGTTACCAAGGGAGTGAGAGATTGACTACACAGTCTCTTTCTGTGTGCATAAGTTTGGTCTGTGACGTTTGATTGCAATTGCTTCAGCAGTAAATCGTATTAGATTCGCTGTCCCTTGTATGTTGAATATTTTGAAATGTCGACAAAATGACTCGTATCCACATGATGGGTGTTTGGTAATTGCACTTTGTAAATATCTGCTTCCTTTTATGCATAAGTTTCTTGGAATATGCTCTGAAAACCGGATAGAAGCCCTTCTTTCTGTCCTTCCAATGTACTTGCTGCCGAAGGTACACGTTAATTTATAAATGCAGTTGTAGGTAACATCAGCAGGGTACTTATCCAGTTTCGATTGCCTTATAGTACTGTATCGTGCGTCGGTGGCACAGCGGTTAGGACGCTAGCCTGTCATGCGCATGGTCCAGGGTTCGATCCCCGGCCGCCGATGCACCCAAAAAAAGTGCGTCGGTGGTATAGCGGTTAGCACGCTCGCCGACCATGCATATGGTCCGGGGTTCGATCCCCGGCCGGCGCACTCCTTTACCTCACTGAGCCAGAAATAATCCTGGTAAAGAGGAAAGGTTGGGCATGAGGCTAGCAACCCCATCCTGTAAAAATTAAACACTGCTACAGAAACTTCAAGCCACTAGCTTGGAGCCCTATGTTCCACTGGGAACGTGAAGGAAAAAAAATAGACCTGTATAGTGTCACCAGATTGGCTGCAGGGAAGCATCTCTTTATTGCTCCCTTCATCCTCTTTTCAATCTTTTGCGATACTGTTTCCCCTTTGTATGGGAGGCAAATGAACACTTTTTTTCATTTCAACTGTTGGAGACTTCTCTCTTTCATCTATTTCTCTCTTGTACTTTAGGATAAATCCTTTTTTTTTGTTAGCGACTTGAAGTTTCCGTAACAGTGGTGTTTATTTTTTATGGGATGAGGTTGATAGCCTTATGCCCGATCTTTCCTTTTTAATAGCCTTACTACAGGCTCATAGAGGTTAAGAGGAAGCGTCGTTGGCCAGGGATCCAGTCCCGGAGTACCTGCCTGGTGGTTGACGACAGTTCTATCACTGAACCACAGACGCACTAATCTGTTGATATATAACCTGATAATAAATTTATTGAATACAGTCTCTTAGTTAATTATTGTACTCAGAATTTAACTACTCGCAGTATGGCGCCACCGTTGACTAATGCTATATTTAAAACAAGCTATATAAAGGACGTTAATAATGGGGGATTTGATAAAGTCTTTTTTAAAAATTTTTTCTTTGATTTTTGATTTACAGCTTGATTCCAAACTGTATTTTTGGTGCAAGTGTGGAATTTTCAGCATGGATATCGGTAGCCCAAAGTTTTTTGCAGGTCGACCATAGATATCAGGTGTGCGTCGGTGCGGGCTCGAACCTCGAACCATGTGCATGGTCGGTGACAGTCCTAACCACTGTGCCACCGACGCAAATTTCAGTAGCACTCAGCCTCAGTTGGATACTCTACACAGAAGAAGCGGTATAAAATTAAGATAAAGTGCATTATGGTTCAAGTATATCAATTATATAAACAATTAGTCATCGGAGGAATAACCTAAATATTTCAAGAATTACGAACTGAAAAAAAAATAATAGTAAGAATAATAACAATAAGAATAACGTTAAAACAATATAAGCTATTGGTAGTGATAATAATAATTATTATTTTTCTTTTAATTCCTAGAGGAACATAGGGCTTCAGCCGCGCGTCTGCATTACGTTCGGTTCTCTGCTAGAGTTTTCACCTGGCTCCATGTCTACCCACATGCTTTCATCTCTTCCTCTTCACATGACCTCCTCCAAGTCACCCTTACACTGACAACCAGCTCGCCGCTTCCCTTTCGGTCAGGTTCCCCTCGAGCAATGGCTTGTCTAGTGATGTCGCTTGATGATTTGTTTTCTCAGAGTATGGCCGATCCATCTCCATTTCTTCCTGCCTATTTGTTTCACAATCGGTTCCTGGTTGGTTCGCTCTCAGAGATCACTGTTGCTGATGTTTTCTGGTCGGCCATCTGATCTTACGTGGAGTTCTAGTGAGAAGTCGTGACCAGTATGGTGCAGGAGGTTGGGTGTGAGGACAAATACTCGCCGAAGATATTGGCTAGTGGTTGTGTTGTATCGTGAATTGGCAGAAGTTAGAATTCATGGGCTGGCCATTGGATCGGGTCCCAGTGGCTTAATGGTCTACGAGCTCACTAGCCTTGTAACCAGAAGGTCTTGGGTTAGAACACTGTCGGTGGTGGGTGCGTACTTCTGAAAAGTTCCAAACTAGAACGAAGCAGCTGTCCAATACTCCCAGATTTTCTAATGGTTCTCTAACCAATGTCAGTTCATGATGAATTCCTGTAACAAATGAGAACTTTGCTATCGTTTTTATTTTCATCCTCTTGGTCTGTGCGTTCGATACTCGCATACACGCACACACAAAACGCCTACATGATGTTTTTCTGTATCTTTCATCTTATCAGTTTTATCGGAAATTAATTACATATTGTTGTTATTGTTGTTGATGTTTTTAAAGCTTCACCATGTGTTACGTGGACAATTATTATGACAATAATAATAATAATAGTAATAATATTAATATAATTATTATAGTCGACTTTATTCACGCCAACGCTACGCGACATATGTTACTATCACTTAAAATACACCCATTTATTCACAGAAGGGAAGTAATAATTTCAGTTACTGGACTTCATCACGGACTAAAATCAGCCAGATAGAGAACATTGAAAAGCAGTGAACATTGAACGGCTAACTGTTTCGCCAGCCTACTTTGGGACTCTTTATCAGTACGCACAACTATCACCTCACCTGACCAAGCATCGCGAACCCGGGACCTATGAGTTACAAGACCAAGAGTGTTAAACATTCAACCACTTGAACTAGCCAGTGGAGTTCAGTGGCCACTTAGATCCCCTTTTCAATTAGTTCCTCATCAGTGCTTGGCTAGCTCTACACTTATATAAAGTGTTTTTTACACGCAAATTTTTTTTTACCGATCAAGTGGTTATTTTATTTAATCACGTTTAGGTATACGGAAAGGTGGGGAAATTAAGAGGTTAAAAGTTATCAAAACATTGTGTATTTATTCCCTTGATGAATTTGAATAAAACAAGAACAACAGTGGCAGCTTGTGCAAAATAATGTGGTACCATCATTGTTTATTTCGTTGGCTTCTCATCAGCTCAACTGCTACTTACACCCTAAGTAAATTATGAGGTTTACGCACAGAAAAGTTTTAACATACTTGTAAGTTTTACATGTTGTCAGTTAACAGAAAGTTCCACAATTAGTAAACAGTGCTCAGAAAATTGCGCTTATATAGTTTTTACACAGGGAGTTCAAGTTTAAACAAAATAAATGTATGCAGAAAATGGTAAAGGAGTTACGTAATAAAGATGAGATATGCGTTAGAAGCATAGTGACTAATAAGTTAGGTAACAATGTACTGACTTGAACTCAAATCATAGAAACAAGAGACAAGCGAAATTACAGATTATAAAAGGAGGGTGAGGTTAAAGACAGAGATTACGTAATCAGATGAGAGAAAAGAGACATCCAGTTACCAAGGCAAAGAAAGACTAATAACTGCTCCTTTCTGAACACATATATCTGGTTTCAAGCGTTTGATAGAAATCGCTTCGGCAAACTTGAGGAGAATGGAGCTCTTTTGCCTATTGATAATTTTGAAGGATTTCTCGATTTCCACCTCATGACCCGTGTCGAGGAGATGTCTGGTAATAGCGCTACTATAAGAGTTTGTTCCATTGAGACGTAAGCTTTTCGGCACATGTTCAGAAAATCGGAGGTGTGCCCCTCTTTCTGTAATCAAAACAATTAACTAGTCGTTGCTAGGAGCAAGATATCTAAGTTTTAGAGAGACGGAGGATAATTACGGAATTCAGGTTATTACGTAATCGCGAACTTTGTAAAATAGCTACGATGACTAAGAAGAATAGGACGACTCAAAAGAATTACGTAAAAATACAAACAAGTTAATAGAAGTAGCTAAAAATGTAATCATAAATAAAATAAAAGTCAAAAGACAGTATTACAAGGGGTGGGGAAAAGTCATTTTTCAAAACTTAATACATATTATGTAGTTGGCCAAGGTTAGGCAAAAAAGAAAGGGGCTGTACAAATTTCCTTTGAATACACAGATTTGACTTGTTCAGATGAATTCCGATTGTCTCTACTGTATGGAAAAGTCGTACTTGTAACTTAAAAGGGTTTGTTAGAGTCGACGAGATGAGCACTAGTATTGAGATGTGTGTAGCCTTATTCATTCATACCTTTGTCAAACCAAGATGCAGGATGGTGTTCAGAAATTCCACGATGAACTTGCCTGATCGTAACACCCAATGTAACTGATAAATGCACATGGAAGAGACGAAACAAATAAAGCAGTTTGTTTTTATTTCTTCAACTGACTATGATGCATTTTCTTAGAAATAGACAGAATATCGGCTGACGAAGTAAAGTCAGATGATGGAACTATTCCGAAGTATTTAATGCTCTTGACTTCTTCTCTACATCAGTGCCCTCTAAACTACAAGTATCGTGTGAACTAGTGATGAATTCATTAAGGTCACTTTTATTCCTGAAGGTGAAATTCACTCTCTGACATTTGGAATGATTTAATGCAAGACGTTTAAGCTTAGACCACTGGCTAATGCGTCAGTGGCACAGTGGTTAGGACTATCGCCGACCATGCACATAGTCCTAGGTTCGATCTCCTGCCGACTCACACCTGATATCTATGGTCGGCCTGCAAAATTTGGGCTACTGATATCCATGCTGAAAATTCCATACTTGTAATGAAAATACAGTTTGGAATCAAGCTGTAATCAAAAAAAGAAAGGTATTCAGTAGTTCGGAACAGTCAGCTCGGGAAGGTATCGGTAAAGATATCAGACAATATGTCGACGCTGTGAATGATGTCGCTTCGTGATGAAAATCGAACAACTGATAATATTAGAATTTAATTTGTGGATGGCGGCTAACAGTGGATAACGCTTTGGTGTTCGAAACTATGGGCACTGGGTTCGAGCCTCATTGGGAACGTCATCACTCACTTGGAAATGCAGGTACATCCAGCTGACGAGTCCCAAACAGGACGAGATGCGCTTTATCCTGGCTTGATTCCACTGCTTGTCACCATCCACAAATTAAATTCCAATTCAATGCCCAGACATCGTCGAAACATCTGCACAAGAAGCCGACATGTCAACCTGAGACCGAGGAGCACTTGGGTCCAATCAGTCGACGGGAAAATCTCAAATTCAATTGAACTGAAAATATTAATCCAAATTCCCCAAAAATCTCATAATCTGAAGAAATATTTCCCCATTCAACGACATCAAAATGTTAATGTAAAAGTAGAACTTGGAATGTGATTCCATAATTAGATAAGTTTATTATAAGTATCACACACTATGATGTTGCAGTATTAGCAACTGGATAACAAGGTTTCGAGCAGAAATGATTGCTACTCATAATCATATCAGTTTTAGTCACACAGTTTCACAAATTGTCTTATGTATATATTTTCTCTCTATTCTGTCTCTCCTACTTCCCTTTGTTTTTTGTTGCCACTTTCCATATCTCCAGTATGGGAGTTGCGTCATCCTGATTGCACGTGTGATGAGGTGTTGAATCGATAAACAAAGCTTCAACGATTCACCTCTCCCTCTCTCTCTCTCTCTCCACCTAACTGACTATATTACTTCTTAATACTCTTACCCTGTCCCTATATCCCACCCCCTTATTGTGTGATTACATCGGAATAGCTGAGCTCTGTTGTTTCTAGGTTATTTAACTTTACAGGGTCACTTATTCTAAGTCTAGCTAACTAGTAGGCCAGAAGAATTAAACAATGAAGTCAAACAAATAAATGAAGTATTACGTGTGAGTAACACGCTATCCACCAGAATTTATTCAAAAATATGTATCAAGAAGCATCGAAAACCTAAGACTGGCAGTAAAAGGGATGAAAATAAAATAATAAAGAATTCAAAGCCTCTGTAGTACTGTAACGGTAGAAAACAATGGCCAGGCGAAAGATCGTTTATTTCCAGAAATCAACACATATTTATCTATTTTCATTTGCATTATTATAGATTATTGTTAACAGAAAAACACCACAATCTTCTGATCAGTGGTTGTTTCTCACTGAACGATAATCTTTCATCTCTTTGTGGTTGTTTCTTGAATGTCAGATCATTTATCTGCTAATTGTATCTACCTACGTAAAGTCTGTTGTGGTTGGTTGTTCAATCAGTCTTTGTTCTTATTTTTCTCACGATCAATATTGAGGACGTAAACATTGACGTAAATTACTGTCCACCAATTTGGCCAGCAGTCAGCTCTCATCACAGTACTACCTTATAAAGAAAGAACATCAGAGGCCCCACATAGGATTCTCAGTGATGAGTCTGGAATTAGGATAGTATTTAAACCAACCAACCAACCAACTGTCTCAGAGATAAACTTTGTCGGCTTAAGGACCCAATAAATTCAATTAAGAAAAGTAATATAGTTTACCAAATACTTTGATATAATGAATGTAAGGTCAGTTACATAGAGTTCAAACTGTAACCATAGTAGGCAAGACACGGAAGCCAAGGTTTATTTTTCATTGATCAAACCGCTGTTTATATATATATAGTTTATATTAGTTAACCAGTCAGTCATGAGCGTGTGATTTCAGTTCACATCAAACGACATAAAATAGAATGTTTAAATATATGCATCGTATTGTGTTGTTAATGCCGAATTGAACTGTGTGAATATGTGAGAAAAATATTCATCCCGTTAGCACACATTGTCTGCATCACACCAGCACAAAACTAGTAGATAAGGGTCAGCTAGATTATTGAAACATAGAGATTTAACTGGACCTAGAATAGTTATCCCTGTTAAGTTAAACAACCTAGAAACAACAGAGCTCAGCTATTCTGATATAATCACACAATAAGGGGTGGGATTATAGGGATAGGGTGAGAGTATTAAGAAGTAATATTGTCAGTTAGGTGGAGAGAGAGAGGGAGAGGTTAATCACTGAAGCTTTGTTTATCGATTCAACACCTCATCACACGGGCAATCGGAATGACGCAACGCTTCTCCTCTACCAGAGATATGGAAAGTGGAAATAAACAGCAAATGGAAGTTGGGGAAACATAAATAATAATAATAATCTACTTTATTCCAAAACAGACAGTACTTATAATACAGAATGGAATTCTCAGCATTTGTCACAACACCTTGGATCTGATTTACTCAAAATATATAAATAAAATTAGAAATTAAAACAAAATTAACCAGATGAGTTAGACCACGCTTACGATATAAAGTCAAAAATATTCTAAGCACGAATTGAGATCATTGAGTATTAATAATAATAATAATAATAATAATAATAATAATAATAATAATAATAATAATAATAGTAATAATAATAACAGTGAGTTTGTTTCAAACAATATTGTCGATTCAGTTTGGAACTTTTAGCATGTTATTATAGAGTATTGAATCTAATGTTCTGTTGATATAGTATAGTGAGGGGAAATACAAGATCAATAGTGGTAACACTGC